CAAATTATTCTTTATTGTCTTCTAACAAAAGAATTTAAAGAAATAAATTGAGTAATGTATAAGGAATTGAAAGATATATTATTAACGTGCAATTCTTGCGAATTGCGACAGTTAGATGGGATGCTCAAGTAATAATTCTTTTAAGTTTACGTAATGACTCAATTCAGTTTATCTCAAGATTTATAATTTACACAGTAGTGTACTCATGATAATAATAAAACAACTCAAGATATTTAGAGGTATAATAATATATTTATTGATGTTAATATAATAAAATAAAAAATAAGAAAAGAAGAAAGAATAAGAAAATCAAGAGAGTTAAAATACTAAATATGAAGGATAGGTCAGGCACCTCTATAAGAACTATTTAGATGTGTAACTAAAAGTAACTAAAGAAAAAACTAAAAGTAAACTAAAAGTAAACTTAAGTTTTCATGATTCTATCACTTTTTATTTATATTAAATTAATATATAGATAGATATAACAAATAAATCAAATATATCTAATATGTCTAATATGTCAAAGATATTAAATATATCAAATATGTGTGATATGTCTGATATTTAGATCTGTAATTTACTGTATCATGTTCATCAATCCAATCCTGTTATAGTATTTTACTAAAGACCTATAAATTATTACTCTCAATATAAGGTTATTTCTTTTGCTCCTAATGTTGCAAAAGATGAAAATATAAAATTAAACAAGTTTATCTTTTTTTATAAAACTAATTTATAGATTAGATGATATGAAGAAGTAAAGAATAATCAAATATCTAAAAAAATATATATTTTCAAATTCATGTCTAGATAAGACTTAATTAAATAGGTAAAGTTATTAGCTTTTCATCAATTTTGCTAAGATTTAATATAGATTTTTTAGCAATTTAACTATAACCTATTATAAACTTTATATTATTTTAATTTTAACTTGATATAGAATCTTTATTGACTTAATTATGATCTTATGTAATCTTTTTATTGACTTAAATATCAGTTTAACATTTATTTTATTTATAATATAAAATACATATATATTTAATCAGTTAGTAATTTTTATTTTTATAGAAAATCATCCTTTTAATTTTTTTTTTACAGTATAAGCTGAGATTTTTGAATTGAAAAAGAAATAGTAATAGTTTTTTATTTTAAGTTGTCTTAAATTTTCCTTTTATTAAGGATTCTCATTTTACCTGATATTACCATTATATTAAAAAATAATTCTTTTTTATTATAATTATAATATAAGAATAATAGAGAAATAATTTATAATAGAGATACTATTTTTTTATTATTAATAATTATAAAAAAATTATCAATAGTTTTAAAAGATTGAGATTTACTAGCAATCTCATTAAGCCTATAAATTATTTAAACTTTTAATTAAATATTTAAATAAAATTTTTCAATAATTATAATCAAAAAGGAATTTTAAGCTAAACAATAAATACCATCTTTTTAAGTTTCATATAATTTATTCTTTTTTTTATATTTTGAAAATATAATTGATCAAGTAGCAAAATATATTTATTTAAAATATTATTTTATAATTTACTTTAATCTAATAAAATTATTATTATTTATTAATACTTATTTATTATTATACAATTTATATAAGTTTAAAAATGTTATTTATAAATTGATGATAATATAAAACTTTTACAATAAAAAAGGAAAAATAACTGAAAAATATAAAAATAAGTTAATGCTAAATTTGAATATATTGTATTTTAATCTAAAATCTTTACATATAAAAGTAAAATTATTTTTTTAGTAATTTTTCTTTTTTTATTATAAGATCTTATATATTGTTTAATAAATTAAAAAAGGAGTTGCTATTTTTATTATATAAGATAATTTTTAAAATTGATGAGAATATTTTAAAATAATAAATAGAAAAATTATTTATAAAAATTAGATAAAATCATTTTGTAAGATTTTATTTTTAAAAGCAAATTGAAAAATAAATTATTTAATTTTGTATATATTATTAATAATTTCAAAATAAAAGGTTTTATATTAGAAAAATTGCAAGCTAGTATGTGTAATAATAACCCTTAAAATAATAAAATTAAGGAAAATTTATGAATATTATTCAGGTAAGATATAAATTTTTCTTTAATTGTTTTTAATATTTTTTATTTATAAATTTGCAATTAATCATTTATTTCATTCTATTATTTCTATATCTGATTAATATTTATACAAAAAGTATTATTTATCATCATTATTTTCTTATAATAATATCTTTTAAGATTGTAAGATCCATTTATATTTCAATAATTTCAGAAAGATAATACAAAAATTATTATTAATCAATGCGTAAAATGATATTTATTATGAATAATTCTATTAAATAAAGAATATAATATATTAAATTATGGAGAATGGTATGCAATGCTTATTTATTAGCATTAAATCTGATGATTTTAAATCCTTTATAAAATAATATTAACTGAAAAATGAATCATTTTTAGATAAACAAATAAACTGAAACAAAATAAATCAATTAATGCAAATTGTATTTAATAATTCAATAATATTTAAAAATTCATAAGTAATAGAAACAAAGGTAGATTTTAACAAAAATTACAGCTTATAATAATTATCATAAAATTAATGAGTATCTTTATTTTTACATAAAATTTTAGTAAAATAATATATATTATCAGAATAAATTTTAATTTAAAATTATATCTATTAATATCACATATATTATTTTTTATTTTCTAAATCGTTTATTCATAATTGCTTTTTTTTTCTTCAAAAAGAAAATAACTTACTTTTTGAATAAAGGAGTATAAAAAAAATAATGTAATTAAAGTACTTTAAATTAATAAAAAGTGCAAATGTAAAAGAGTATTTCTATCATTACCTTTCCCTTAAATATTTATACGCAGAAAAAAATAAGCACTTCTTTACGACAGAACTTTTCATAAGAAGACTGTTTCAGAGCGTAATATTATAGTAATTGAATTATATCAAATACAGAGTGTGTAAGGGAGGGAAAATTAAGAAATGAAATATTTCATTTCTTAATTTTCTCCTCCCTTACACACAATACAAATATGAAAAAACTGTAATAAAAAATGTATTAAAATAAAATACATTTAATTCTTTTTTTTGCTATCGTAGAAACTTTATTTTTATAATTTCATTACAAACATTTTTAAAATTCATGGTAACCTTTATTTATGTTTATCAACAGCAAATTTGTATTTTTATTATATGATAAAAACATAATGGGACCTTCGCAATCAAAAGGGCGTGAAAATTTAAAAATGAGATAATGTTAAATCTGAACATATCTCGGCTTAAATCATATTTGGCATAAAAAGTAAAATTGATTTTTTCTGTCAGTTTCCCCCCTTTCTATTGCGAAGGTCACATATGACAAGACTACAAGACTAAAATATAGTAAATATCGATCGACTATCGACTGCGTTCAAGGATGGGGTATCCAATAGGGCAGAGGCACCCACTCTTTGATTCACGTAAGGGAATATGGCACAATTCCTTCTCCAGAAAAAGCAGAGCCTTACCAAAGAAAACCTTATTCATGAGCAGTTGTACTGGCTATTTTTCAATCGTAGGTGACTGACAATTAAAGCTGTTCCTCGTTTCGTATGAGAAGAAAATTTTAAAAAATAAAATAGAATTGCGAAAATCAGAATGAATATATACCGTATTTTCTCACTTCCACATTTGTCCACTTCTCGTTGTTGTCAAATAAAATAGACATTAATAATGTCACTAATACATTTCATTATTTTTTTTTTATTTCTTTAGTCTCGTCAATAAGAGTTGTAGTTTATCGAAAAAGAAAGAAGCTTGGAATTTTATGAAACTTGTAGTTAAAAATAAAATTCTAGAAAAAGGGTGGACAAGAAATTAGTTATGAAATCTATGTAAGATTTTCGTTAATAGTCTTGTGGAAAGGTAATAGATGCGATATAGCGAAAGAAAAAAATATCACTTAGGTCATAATTTATAAGAAATGGTAGGAAAGTATGCTCAAAAGTTTGTCCGCTCCTTTGTACTTTTATAAATTAAAAGTTTATTTTGTGAATAGGCTATGAAAAGAAATGAGTGTGATGGGAAAAGTATGTTCAAAAAACTTTGTCCGCTTCTTTGTTTCTTTTATAAAGGAAATAAAGAAAAAAAAATCAATATAGATATTTCCAAATTTAGAAATCAATTAACACCTATTTTTAGTTAATTTGGAAAAATGAAAACATTTTTTTATATATTTATTATATAGTGTGTCGACTGTTGAAAATTCATAAAAAGAATTATTTCTAAGTGACCTTTCCCAGATTCAAGTGTGACAAAAAATGTAAGACGCAGATAACAGAGACGAAACAAAATCTTTAATGTTTAGAAATGTTTTATAGCAATGTTAAATAAACTTAAAAGTCACTTCACTAAAAACCAAAATTTTCTAGAAATAACGTTTAACAAAAAATGAACGTTATTTAAGGCGCGTGCAATGAACATTTTAGAAAAAAAATAATAAAAAAAAAACAGAAATTCACAGGGCATTTTGCACACGAGCCAATTAAATTTTACAACGTTTTGTGACGTTATATAAAGTGTTGCACCCAATCATAACTCGTACACTTTTTTAACAGTACACAAAAGTTACACCGAATATAATTATTAAAAAAAAAAAAAAAAAAAAAAAAAAAAAAAAACTTAAGAGAATGATGAATAATACTAACCTAGAAGAATTATATGGACTATGCTCCCGTTGTGAAAATCCGAAAAGCTATTATGACTGGTGTCCTAAATGTGACTGTCAGAAATTGGTTGATGAATTTTCGAATTGGACTAGTGGAAATAAACTTATTGATGAATTTCTCCAAGATACACAAAGAAATGCAATTTCTTATGCTTCATATTTAGAATGGATTCCCTATGACGGATTAAAAGAAATTGAATATCTTACAGAGGCTGTAAATGGCAAAATATATATTGCAAATTGGAAGGAAGGAGAAAGAATGAATGACTTTTGGTATAATGAAACTATTAATACCCAAAGAAACCGTAGTGGTCCCATTCCAGTTGCAATTAAACACAATTCGCGGGATAATTCTGAAGAATTTATAAACGAGGTAGATGTATGAAAACTATTATTTAATTTAAGATATAATTGTGACGAGTATTGATGATACATTTTAATTAATATTTAGCTAAAAGTTCAACATCAATTTATGACAAGCGGGATAAGATTTCTTCGATTGTATGGTATATCTCAGGATCCAATAACCAGAAACTATTGTGCAATAATTCAATATGCAGCAGATGGTAGTTTAAGAGAATATTTGAAAAAAGATTATTATGAAATTACATGGCAGGAAAAAATAAATATCTTGGACTATATAATTAAGGACCTTGCTATAATTCATAAATTAGGAATGTCGCATAATAATTTACACCCTGGACATGTATTAATTAGTGGTAATGTTGCATATCTTAATTACTTTGATTTATGTGAAAACGTTAGTATCAATTTGGAATTAAGAGATAAAAAAGTATATGGGATTTTGCCATACGTAGCTCCTGAGGTATTAAGAGGAAAATCTTATACTAAATCCTCAGATATTTATAGTTTGGGTATGATGATGTTTGAACTTGGAACTGGATTACCACCATACAACGATAAGCCATATGATGAGCTTTTAGCTTTAAAAATTTCACAAGGGCTTCCACTCGAATATACTCAAGAAATCCCACTGGCTTATGAGAAAGTGATGAATAGTTGTTTGGATCATGATCCAGCAAAGCGACCTGATATTATAAAATTACAAGCCATTTTTCAAATATGGAGACAAAATCCTCCGCACTATATTTTAGAACAACTTGAAATTTTGGATCATATTAATTATATTGAAAATGTAAATTTTAAAGATGCTGTTTTTATAACTACTCTTCGGATGGATCGTTATAGTACAATGGTTGATAAGTTTTATAAATTTAAAAGTTCAATATCGAAGGTAATATATCGCTGTATACTCGTTTTGTTTTATTTTTTATTTATTATTTATATTAATTATTTTATTTTATTTTGTGAACTAAATAATAAATGAGAAGTTTCTATCTAACGAATAGTATTGAATAATGCGTTATCTTTTTATTGTTATCAGATTCTATTAAAATTATAGGAAGAATTTCTCTTTATTTTTCTCAAAAATTTTAATAATAGATTAAATTTTTTTTTTTTTGACCGACATTAGACAACAACTCTTTTTGTATTTCCCAATTTAATTACGCGGATTTATTTCGGATATTTATTTATTTATTTATTTATTTTTTCTATTTTCGATTTTTTTTTTTTTTTTTTTAAAGGATGGTCTAGGTTTGTTATTTTTCTTACATTTTTTCTTTATTCTTTATCGTTTTATTTTTCGATTTTTTTTTTTTAGGATTTTTGATCGCATTCGGGCTGCTGCGTTAATCTAGGTGTTTATATTTCTTTATTTTTGACTTTATATTTTTAAAATTATAAGTAAACTTTTATATTTTTTTATTGTCGAATCGATTGAATGTAAGTTTTCTTTTTTTATGTTATTTTTTTAAATCCTTTTATCTTTTATCTTTTATCTTTTATATTCATTCATCTTTTCGATCGTATTTGATGCGAAGACATTTATTTAAGTTCTTTATTTTCCATTTTCCATTTTTTAAATTTTAGTTATATTTTATTTTTCAAATTTATTTTCATCAAGATTTTCTATTGCATCAAGTGCCAAGTGTGTTTTATATATATTTTTTTATTCATTTTATCTTTTTTTGGATGCAAATAGAAAGGAACACCACCTTTACAATCATTTTTGTAATTATTCTATTTTAAAATAAAAACATAAAATTAGTAATTACTTATAGAAATGATTAAATTTACTTAAGTTAGCTGTTTAGTTTTTGTCTATTTGTAATTAATCATTCTTATTATTTCATTCCTTATATTAAGGCTATAAAGAGAAGAAGTTGTATCATTTTCTTTTTATAAAAATTATAATTACTTATTGGGTCTTTATTTTCTACGCACCTTCACAAAATGTAGGATTTGTTATATATGAGGTGATAAATAAAAATTTTCCATAAAAAAAATTCTAAGTTCCTAGAATAACCGTAAAAATGAAACATATAGGGGTGTAATGCGTTGTGATAAATAAATCCTAACCTTAACCATAACCCTAATCCTAATCCTAATACTAGCCCTAACCTAACCTAACCTAACTCTGCTTTAACATATATAAATATAAGGGGATGCATTTATGCAGAGTGCGCAAAATACAATTTCTCTTATTTATTTTATAGATAATAGATTGTATTGTTCAATTCTTAATTATAGAGAGCTATTAAAATAAATAAAAGAAACATTTAGAACAAAAAAACAACAATTAATTAAAATAAATTACATTGCTTATGTATATGTAGATAATAGATTCTTTATAAATACACAATTTCAGATATCTAATTTCAAATGATCTTGTATCATAAATTCAGATCTTATGTGAAGTTATTCCAATTTCAGATAGCCTTGTGTCTTCAGATTTTATATGAAATTGAATTTCAGATATCTCAATTTTAGACGGCCTTATGTTTGAAATTCAAATTCTATTTGAAGTTTAATTTCAGATATCTCAATTTCGTATTTGAAATTAAAACTGAAATTAAAATGATTATACAGAAAAAACAGATACTTTAAAAGTACTGGTTGATGTCGACAAGCTTCTTCTTCAAGAACTAGTTGATTGTTTATAGAAATATTTAATTGAAAACAAGACTGAATGGAGCTCATTCGAAATAAGTTTTTAATTTAATTTATTATAGAAATATCAAGTGTTTTATACGAATCTAAATACCTGTAAAAGTATTTCAATCATTCATTTCTTAAAAATTTTAAATTTAACTTATCAATAAAATTACAAATGGAAGAAGTTCGAGAACTCATATTAAAGTAGATTTTAAAAATAATCTTATACTCATTTCTGATCCTATAACCTAATCAAATGATAATTTTCAAAATAATGAAAATTAGATATCTTCAAATTTAGGAATTATTAAAATCATATTTTTAATTCCTGTAGAAAGTAAACAGATTGATTTTTGAAAATAGCTTTAAAGATTTCTAATGAAATGTTAAAAAGCTTTAAAAATTTTACAGTTTTATTAAATAGATAATATAAATCATTTTTAGCTAATATAAACCATGAAAATTTTATTTCAAATTTATTATTTATATTACAGAAATCAAAAATTAATATTATCGAATAATTACAAAGAATTTAATATCTTAGAAAAAAATATAGAATCTCATGAAATACAAATTTAAAAAATATATTTAAAACTTAAAATATTTATAATAAATTCAGAAAATTTTGATCAGAATTTAAAAAACAGAATTATTTGCCTTTCTAGTGAACGGTTTTGATTTATTAAGTTGAAAAATTATAAATAACTAAAAGAATATTCATACAAAAAAAAATTAATTGAATTCAAAAAATATTGTTATGTAATATCATATGAAAATTCCATATAAATACTATAACCCTGTTTAATCTAGATTGTATCAGATTAATTGCAAATTTAAATCTCAGATGATTGGTTACTAAAGCAATCAAGAGATCAATCAAGATGAAAAACAAATTTGTAGTTCACCTTGATCGATCTTTGTAAAATTTCAAAAATGTCTAACTCAAAATTTACTACTTATCGTTTAATTGCTCCAAAACTTTCACAATTACAGGAAGTTTTTGAATAAAATCCAAATATTTTAGCTATAGTAACTTCTATTTCTTTAGCCTCTACTTTAGTACCTACTTTAGTGCTTGCTCCTACTCCTCCTTTGATACCTGCTTCTACTACTTCTTTAGTGCCTATATTGACTTCTTCTTTAGCTTCTATTTCTTTAGTTCCTGATTTATGTATTCCTACCTCATAATTGCTTTTATCTAATTAAGGAAAAACAATATAACTAGTTTAACTTACTTTAATATCTGTAGTATCTACCAAATAAAATAAAAAAAATGAAAAGTTTTTCAAAAAAAAAATACTTCTTAAACTGCTGTTGAAGATGATACAAGATGAGGAGATGAAAATACAACATTATTATTAATTTTTCTTAAGAAAATTTTACTAGCTACAAAAAAATAAATTAAACTTTGCTAAAAAAATTTCTGTTCAACTTTTTTCAAGTAAATTATGGGAACAAATCAAGAATAAATTATCTTATCTTGTAATTAAGTATAATAAAATTTAAGAAAAAAAAATCAAACATAAAAAGTAGCATAAGCCAGATGGAAATAGTTTGAAAGAATTGACAGATTATTTAGAATTCATAAAAATCACAATTCAGGATTTTTAGTAGATGGTCTTTCTAATGATATTGAACTTTTTAATAATGTTAAAGAAAAAGAAAATGAAGAGGAGAAGGAAATTAAAGATAAAAGTTTGGAGAAGTATCAAAATATTAAAAAAAGAAAATATTTTTCACAAGACCCATTGGCTGATGCTATTCTTTTTATGAGTAATTCGTGACAGGTAGTTTAGGAGAAATGACTTAATTTTGAATATGAGGAATTTAAAAAAAGGCAAAAGGCTAAAAAAGAAAATTGAAAAGCAGAAATGATTCTTAAAAAAGAAGAATTAGAAATTAAATGAATTAAAGCTAATACATTATAGAAAAAGATAGAATTTGATATAAAGCAATTACAAATACAATTTGAACTTAGAATAAAGAAATTGGATTTAAAAATAATGCAATTTAAATAGTCTCTAGAATAATAATTTAGTCATAATAATTGATAACAGTAATAATAATAATAGCAATTGTAATAATAATAGTAATAATAATTTTGTATTTTTTATTCAGTAAATTATAAATTTTAAGTTAAATAAATAATTATACATCAGGCATTCATATAAATTTAGTTGAGAATCATTTAAATTATTGTTTTATTTTAATAGTTTAATTTAAAAGTTCAATTATAAAGATAGAGTAGTATTCAAATTTAACGCTAAAATAGTGTTAAATTTTAAAGTTAGATAAGTGTTTAATTTTAAAGTTTATTAAATATTTGATTTTAAAGTTGGATAAGTGTTTATTTTTAAAAGTTAAATAAGTGTTCAATTTTAAAGTTTATTAAGTGTTCAATTTTAATGTTAGAATTGTGTTCAATTTTAAAGTTAGATTAGTGTTCAATTTTAATATT